TTTCCGCATCGGAAATCGCCTGGATGTTGTCGATTTGGAGGTCTTGGTCTTCACATATTTCTTTCGTTGGTTCTTTGCCGAGATGGAGTATTCTACGGATGCAAGGAGCGTCAGGGAACTTTTCGGGAGTGGGGATCAGTGGTTTGTGCTGGAAATCTAGGAAATCTGCACACTCTGAGTTGAATATCTTCTTGGTTTCAGGATCCCAGAAGAACCAACCACGTTCATCGTCTTGGTAATCCACCAGATAGCCAGTCCATCCTCGTTGATCGAGTTTGCGGCGGCGTTCCTTTGGGATGTGAACAGTCGCCCTGGCACCAAAAGGGTAAAAAGACATCGTGTTTGGTTGACGGTTGGACCATAGTTCAAGTGGCGACGTTTTGCATCTGACATTGGACAGGCGGTTTGTGAGGAAGCAGGCGCATTTATACGCGTATGACCATAGGGAAGATGGGAGGTGTGAATGTGTGAGGGTGGTGCGAGCGATGTCGCCGAGGGTTCGGTTAAGGCGTTCAGCCTCACCGTTTTGTTCTGGAGTGTACGGGGAAGTGAATATGATTTTGCAGCCGATAGAATCTAGGTAGTCGTGCAGCGATTTCGAAGTGTATTCTTTGGCATTGTCACAACGGATGAATCTGGGTGATGATTGAAAGTGGGAAGTGATGCGTTTGATGAGGGAAATTAGTATTCCAGGAACTTCGGATCGTGATTTCATTGGGAATACGAATGAATAGGTGGTCGCATGGTCTCTGATGGTGAGAAGGAAACGATTTCCCTTCACGTCGGGGTCTAGTGGGCCGAGAACATCCGTTACCAAGAGATCGAGGCGGTTGTCTTTAGGAATGACTTCGGGCAGCGAATGGCGTCGGCGTTCACTTTTCGATGTTTTGCAAGATTCACAGATGAAAGGGGTCCAGCGTTTGATGTCGAAATTGGGAACAAATCGTTTAAGGAATTCTTTCACAACAGAGTCGGAGACGTGTCCAAGACGACAATGCCAGTCATACGAAGGGGAAGATATCTGAGGTGGGGCAGTGATGGAAGCAGATTTGATTGAGTAGGGTGTGCGGCGCCAGGATGTAGGAAAGATGATCCAAGACCGATTGATGTATTTAGCGATGATAGAAATGAATGAGGATGTTAAAAGAATGTCGTTGTTCGGGAGGAATGAAGGTTTGAAGCCGGAGTCAATCAGCTGTCCAAGACTAAGAAGTGTTCCCGTCATTTCCGGGCTGTACAGTACCCGCGGGATCATTAGGGAACCATCCCCATTGATTATCCTCAGGTGACCACTGTGTGTTGCCGTCATGGAACCATCAGAGGAAGCTAGATTCAGTTTGATAGGCGGACGGAGGCTTGATAAGTTAGAAAACATATGGAAAGAGCCGCTCACGTGGTGGGTCGCCCCAGAATCCAAAACCGTGCCTGCGCCATCGGCACCCGTCGCATCCGCAGCCACGGCCGATCTAACTGCCGCATTAGAGGTCGAGCCAGTAGCAGGGTCGTTCGGGGGTGCCGCTTGACGGGCGAAACCGGAAGCGGGGCGACCAGGTGTGGAGGTGTCGGGAGGTGGCAGATTGGCATCTCTGCGGAGCGTCGGGCATGACGATCTCCAGTGTCCCGACCCGCCGCAGTAGGAACAGGGTTTCCCGGTGAAGATGTTAGGGTCGTTCGGACCTCGGTTGCCTTTCCTGATATTGTTGATCGCTGCCGCAATATCGTCGATGGTTGGGTGGCCGGGTCGTCCGACATTTGGCTGACGATTGGTGTTGAGTGTCGGAGCTGGTGGTTGGGGACCCGGGTTGGCTTGTTGAAAAGGGTTTCGTCGGGGAGGGCGTATTGGATTTTGAGTCGCATTACCCCACTGAGGTTGATTGGGCCATGTGCGGAAGACAGAGACGTGGGAAGATGGTGACGAGTCGAAACGAAGAGATTCGCCGTACGCGGAAGTAATGATAGTTTGGATATCTCGAGCCGTGACGTCTGGCTTTTTGCCAAGTTGTAGGGAGATGTTCTGGAAGAGTTGGGACCGAGACATTGATGAGGGAGCAGGGACGACAGCCTGAAGAATGAGGCTCTCAACCAGAGGCGAGAGGCCGGCACCAACTTTATGTAAGCCGGCGAAGGTTTCAAAGATCCTGTTGAATAGTCCGGGGATTTGTGATGGCTCGGTGGACGGACCAGAGACCCGTAACTCGAGCAGCTTGTCGATGAGTTCCATCTGACGAAATCGGACGGTGCCTTGGAAGTTAGTTTGAACAGCGTCGTAGGCTTCAGTGCCTTTGGTGTATTGGTCAACAAGAGATGCGAGCTCATCGTGGATTGTGATTTGAATAAGGAATAACAAGCAGGTATTCTCCTGGTCCGATAATTTGGAATAGTTGTCGGATTTGTCGAAAAAATTTGGGTGGCCGAGGGTGAGGAGAACGATTCGTGTGAGTCCCCTTTTCCACTTGTCGAAGTTGGACCCATCGGCGGTGAGTTGTTCAACGTCCTGCTTGTAGATGCTAGGCTGTTGCAAAAATTTGGAACGAGGTGTTATTTCGGACGATGTCGATGTCGACATTTGGGTGGGCCGTTCAATCGGAGAGGATGGTCGAATGCGAGGGGAGAATGCCGGAGAATGCCGAGTGAGAAACTGGGAGAATATATGAGATAGGGGGGAAAGAAAAGGTGACGGAGGTCGATTGTTGTCGATGGGCGGGTCGATGGTTGTGTTACGTGGAAAGTCAGGGATAACCGGGTCTATGCCGGATATACTGAAGTTGTTCAGGTCCTCGATAAGCGAACCAAGTTGTAAGGTTGGCTGGGTGTCGGTGGGGTTCTGAGGCGGTGGGGTCGGAGGGGGCGATGGTGGGAGTGCTGGAAGTTTTGATAATCTGCGGTATTCAAGTTTGCGTTGTCGTTCAAATATGGAAACCGGTCTGCGGCGTCGAGTTGGAGGAGGTAGTGGGCCAAAGAGAGTATCTTTTGTCGAACGTCGGGTATGTACCATTCGATGTGTCGGCTAGTCGTTGGGTAGAGCAGCGTACTCTTAATCTGTTGTAGTTGGAAATGCCTGGTGTTCATTGCTTCCCCCCGTTCCCCCTCTTGTCTTCTTCATACTCCAAATGTGGAGTTTGCACACCCATACAACAGTATGTGGAACCGGGCCGGATGAAGCAATAACGGTTGAAAAGTGAAAAAAAACGATCATTATAAGGGAGTGTTATGCCAGAGGTCCAAAAGGTTGAAAAAAAGAGGAGGGTTTTGAAAAAAAAGGTTTATGCCAATAAGCGGCAAGAATAAAATTGCAATACCCAAACTTTGGGAAGCTTAAGCGGGCATGATGGGGACAAGAGGTCCAAATTTTGAGTAGACAGGATTAACAAAAACATATATAAGATTCATTGATGACAAGGACAAAAAAACTAGGTTAAAATTCATGGTGCTATGGAGAAATGAGAACCTTCACCGCCAAAATTGGATCATAGCCTCACAGTGTCATGCTCCCCTCGGGCGTAAGTCCTCTCCCTGCGGGATCTCCCTGCGGGAGAGTCCTCAGAGCATCACCAACGGCCTGGGGGTGGGTTGGCTCGACTCTAGCAGCCCGGAAGCAGATGTCCCAAACTGTCACCAATATGTCACAGTAGGGCAAAATATGGACTGTCGATCCGGGTAGGGGTGGATGAAGATTTCCGTCAATCAACTTCAAGCCAATCCCTTCTTTCCAACACAACCACCAAAACACAATGATGAAAATTAAAATCTAATTGCATTTCTGCTTTTCCTCTTTTTCTCCTTCGTCTATTACATAGCCGAACAAGGCTTGTCTTTGAAACCGGGGCTAGAGCAGTGGAAACAGTCTCAATCGGTGTGCAAATGCTTTTTTTTTCTTTTCTTTTTATATGTATAACGTAGAACGAGAGCCCGGAGATGCACAAGTTCATCTGGTGACTTTCCGTTTTTTTGATTCGAAGTAAATCAAGACAATATTCTGCAAAGCTTCCATTCAACAATTTCATTGCAAATGGGATTAGCGCTTGGTATGAGGAAGTCAAATAGAAACATATTATATACAAGAGGAAGACCTTCAAAGCACATGATCAGCAATATAAGCGACAACAGAAAGTAACCCAGAACAGAAACGACAAGAATGATCGATAGGAAGTCTGGCATTCAAAATCGACCAAAATGTGTCTTTCGAAAAACAAGCAAGATGATCTCTTCTAGATTTCATTCAAGATTTCTGGTTCAGTCGCCGAGGCTTTGGGGGTTGAATTTGGATCCGGTTGAGTTCTCGGCATCGTACGGGTTGTCGGAGTTGGTGCGTTGGGAGTCATTGATGCCAGAAGAGGATCGAGGACCATAGTCTTGGTAGGCATGGATACAGCTGGAGATATGTGGTGGTGTTGATATCAAGATGTGTAATTGTATGTGTGAAAAAAGGAAAATCGGACGACGAGCCGACCGAGAGTTGGTTGTAGCAGCTTGGAGGGAGAGCTGCCAAAGCTGCCAAAAGTAGCAGCCAAGGGCAGCTCGGATCCACCCCCGCGACCATCGGCAGCTTGCTCAGCCGCTCCGCTAGAGGCCAAAAAAGGCTCGCGGGCCGCTGAAGTTGGTCCCAGGTCCCGCATCAGCAGGACCGTTGGAGATGCTCTCAGTGCTTGCACACTTGACGAGCGGCTACAGTGCCCCACGCCGCAGCAGGGACGCGGGCTTTTGATAAGTTCGCTGTTTGGGGGAAGTTGTATTTAGCTCCCTGGTACGGCATTTAAAAATGTCAAACATGCGTTGTAGGGGAGTCGAACCCCTGACGAGGCCATGGCAAGGCCCCAGTTTACCGCTAGCCTAACAACGCTTGTGTGGGATGTCAGCTAATCTGGTACAGTATCCGATCCGAATGATGCCGGATGCCTTCTTTTGGTCCGCACCGAACAAAAGTACATAAGCTCGATCACAGTCCCCCGAGGTTACTGAGCAGTGAGTTCCCCCGTGCTCAGTCAGTGCCGGGTTTTTGGGTGCTTGACCTCGCCCGCCAGTCCACACAACCCCCGACGACTCTCCACAGCACCTTTTCTCCTTTGAAGCCTCATCCAAAAACAAGATCAATACCTACTTAGGTTCATCACTCATCAATACAAAACGAACAATCAAAAATGGAGGACGAGAAAGAGCGATTATCGATCGATTTGGATTCGACTCCCGTTGTGGAAGAAGAGGATTGCGATGAGGTCAGCTGGACTGTTCTAACTTGTTGTGCATTAGAGACTGAGGATTGGAGAGTTATTTTCTGTTCATGACAATTGACATTCGATTCTTTCTTGCGTCTGTTTTCATCAACAAGGATCTAGATGTTTCCGAATCAGGAACGCTGACTTGGCTAGTCAAGATCCCCAAATTTCTTTCCGAACGATGGCAACAACAAGCCCAAATTTCGGGAGGTCGGACCGAGCTGGGTGCGATGAGAGTCTATGAAGAGTTGAGCTTATGTTCTTCTTTTTCTTTCTCATCTGAGCATGAGCTACAATGACATATTGACTGACATCTCCGATTATCAATCCATCATATTAGTGATAATAGCGGCGGAAAACGGAAGATCGAAATCCTTTTGGAAGACTTACCCGACCTGCCACCAGTCCCTAAGCAATACAAATTGGACGTTAGGAATGCGGCCACCGTGAACCTTTATGTGTTTGATGAACTTGCGAAACCAGAACCAGTGGCTTCCACCTCGAAACCCGAACCGACTGAAAGTACTTCTACCGACAAATTCGGTAGACCTCGCCGGGTCCGACCCAAAGTTGCGCGTGGGTCTCCTTCCGACGACTTGCTTCTTCTTTTTTTTTGTTCTTTCTTCTTCTTCGAAATATCAAGTTTAATGTCGTGTTGCCTGATTTTTCACTTTATTTCTTTTTGTTTACAGGTCGACCTAAGTTGTCGGGGACTATTGCCCATGAATGCCAGGTTGCACCAGTGCTTGATGATAATTATCGTGCAGTCATGCGTGCTCGTCAGCAGAAGGCCGCTCAGCCTAAACGGACCATCAAACGCGTCAATCAAGATCTTGGAACATTAAACCGAATGGCTAGTGGAGTGACGACTCATGCCCAAGCTAGCAAATTTGCCGCATTCACTGTTAGTTTTCAGATCGATCTAGATCATTCTTTTGTTTCCCCTCCTCCTCGACTCACTCTGGATGGTTTTCTACACATCATCTAGAGATCTGTGACCAAACCTCAAGGCACAGAGAAATTTACGAGAATGCCCCGGACGGAATTGATGGACACTTTGTTTGCCAACTTCTTGCGTTATGATTATTGGGCGACGAAATCACTCAGGTGAGTTATCTGCTTGACCTACAAAATGCCAACCCTTTGTATTTTGGTGTGTAATTTTACGATGTTGAGATGGTTGAGTGTGTGTATGTAGGGCGCAGACCAAGCAACCGGAGGCCTATCTGAAAGAAGTCTTGACAGAGATCGCCACCCTTCTGAAAGCTGGACCATATGTGGGCCACTGGGTTTTAAAGCCACAGTACGCTCAACTCAATCGCTCCAAAGCTGCTGCCAAGTACGCCGAGGCCGAGGCTGCTGGCAAGGCGGAGGCCGAAGAGGCTGGGAAGAGCCCGTCGAAGATGGACGAAGATGATGATGAAAACTTCGGCATGGATGATGATGACGACGATGACGACGATGACGATGATCTCGATATGGAGGAAGTATGTTGATGTGCACTCACCAGCAGAATCTGCCATCCTCTTCCCTCAAAAGAAAAACTTTGTAAACTATAACTCCCTTATCAATCCCTCATGGTCAACAGTCCAGGCAGAAAGGTATAACGAAAGCACCTCAACATTTATAAACATCGGATACGTACACACATAGAAATATAAAACTCGCTGATCTATGATATATTTATGATAGCAAACTATAAAATACATGAACCTTTGCCATAGAACTAGCTCGTCAATCTGGGCTGGATTTGTCTATAAGAAAACGATTGTTTTAAAATGCAAAGCAAAATACGGTCAATCTATCTTCTCCCCTTACCACCCAATGGTCCGTCAACCCTTGACCCATCAACCTCTATCAACCCATTGTCAACTTGTCTCTCTACCAAACTTAATGAAGTGGTGGCATATACAGGCTAAACCCATTGACCTACAATGCGTGCTCTTAATCCTTTACAAAGCAAACATGTAAGATGTCAATCAGATTGGTTGCTATCTTGTCTCGTACTCTACTCATGAGATGAAACAAAGCCAAGTCTTGCAAGAAGAATACATGGTCTGGAGCAATCCGAGTCGAGTCTCGAAGTTCTCGAAGGACTTGATCGGGAATCTGGAATGTTCGGTGGAAATTCCATGTGGCCGGATACACCGGATAGCCCGTAGGAATTCCCAACAGATGTGCATACTCTGGCTTACTACATACCCCATAATTCACCCCGCACTGACATCATCCCCGCGTAAATCCATAGTGCGCATACTCCTTCGCCCTCCTCCTGTTGACCATCCACCGATTTCCTACATAGTGACTGACTTCCTACTAACAACAACGAGCAGCCCAACCAACCGGAATTTCTGCAGACACACTCTAAGAAAACTTCCCTGCTTTGGCCATCATGTCCACCGAAACTCCTGCCATCTCAACCCCACCATCATCCCACCAACCAACCGACCTCCCATCACCGGTTTGTTTGCTTCCCCTCCTCGGAAAACCTGATGAGTCACTGTAAGACATCATACTAACAAAAGCTTGTTTCTCTCTTTATCCTTCCTTCTTCGATGATCTCGGATTTACGAATCCGCATTATTAACGGGAAAAAAAATGTGCTTTTGATCGATCAAACGAACTTGAAAGAAGAAGCTCGAGATGGACGATCAAGGCCCATCGCCAATGACCATGTTGACCTTCTTCAAAGGTCCCTCACGAAACAAACTGGCCGAAAACCCAGTGAGAAAATCGATCTGTTTCGGCTTGGTATCCCACCATCCCAGTCAACAACCACAGCCTAATCGACATGCCGATAGACCAAGAGTGGTCACCAACTGGAAATCTGAAAGCGAGACTCAAAGAGAGATCTTGAACAGTTTGGAGCAACCAGTCTTTTCACCTACTATGAGCCATAACAGATCCTCCTCCTCTCATTCTCATCCGACCGACCAACGAATCGAACCATTAAACCTAAAATCGATTCCCGCCGAGGTCTTACTTCCGTTCAATGAGAGAGAAAACGAGATTGTTGAACTGTTGGCTGAACCCCAAAACCTGGGCTTATATAAGCGATTGAAGGATCGATTGTTACAAGCCGAGTCCTGGCCGAAGTTTGAGAAGGGGTTGTTGAGAGCAAGTAGAGAGGAGATAGGAGATCGCGAATGGATCGTCGCCATCCGAGCGCTCATCGAGCCACTTGATGATCATCTCTGGGTCAGTTTCCGTGGTTTGATCGGGGCCGACGGCTTGGATGATCAAGAGAGCAAGCCGGCGAAAGAAGAAGACTGGCACGTCCAGCCCTTCAAAGTCAGGCGCTCCTCGATTCGCTCGACCGATGGTCGTCGTCGGATGGATAGCCACCACAGTCGTTCGATTAGCAGCGACTCGTCTCTCTCTGGCGTCGGGACTCTGGAATCGGATATGGAGGACTCGTTCAGCATGGTCAGCCAATCTCCTCGGGCAAGGATGGACTCGATCAAGGAACACGATTTCCTCGAGTCCGAGCTGGATGATCCTGAGGCCCCCGGGTGCGATAGTCCTGGTATGATCCCTCAGACCGGCTCGGACTCCGGCGACGATCAAGCAGACGACAGTCATGTCTTGGCCCTCAAAATCCTCGACGGCCCATCTGACCCAATTCCTTCTTCTTCCGATCCCAAGGGCGACGTCAAACATGCCTACTGCCTGCTTCCTCATGGGCTCAAGTATTCGTTTGGTCAGGTCGTCGATCATGGGCTGGGACTCCAATCCTTGAACGTCGTATGTCCTTTCTTTCTCTGTGTGTGTGGCTAAAGAAACCATCATCAATTAATTGATATCATCAAACTGAAATGTCCTGCACTTTCTTTACTCTCCATTCAGCCCGCATAAAAGATCCTTAGGATATAACAATCCACTCATCTTATCAAATAGCATTCTTTTTTTCTATGTACCTGAAACATGATTCTTTTAAATTTCTTTTGACTCCTACGATATATCGTCACTTGTACACACACTCACAGGCTTATCTTCTTTTTTACAATCATCCCCGCTCAATCTCTCTCTTTTGCATTGTCCCTTTTTTCAACTTACTCAGGCTCAAAATGCAGATAGTATTAGCACTCACCATTAATTATTGTTTGGATTCCTTATCATCAGCATCTTCTTCTCCTTTTTTCTCCTCAAAGTCTTATATTCGGATCTTTCAATTTTTAGCTCAAGTTTCTTTTTGATTGCCTTTCCTTTTCTGAATCCCCCCCAAAAAATATATATACGTGTAGATTATGTTTTGTTGTTGTTGTTGCTGTTGTTTTGATTTTGTTTCTACTGTCTTTGTGCAAATTTCTTTCTATCTTCTTTTAAAACTTAAAACATGTACGGGTTTTTTGTAATCTCTTTCACAGATTACAATCCCATATTCCAATCAAATACTCAGCCACCCATTCCGCCAGTCTTGGCCCACACCAGGAGCCGCACATGTGCATGAAGAAGTGCTTATTTCTTGGTCTTTGCACATTTTGTGAGATCACTCAACAAGTGTGAGCATTTTAGCTGATTCTCTTTTCAAGTTCATCTTAAGCTTAACTTACAGAGTTGGCTTGTTTTTTATTCTTTAGAAATGGTTGGATGGTTGTTTCCAATGGGAGATCTCTTTTTTAATGACTTGAGCCTATATTCAAGAACAGCCTATTTATTTTCGAACATCTTGAAAGTCAGGAGCGGCTGAAATAAATAGCGAGAGCTGATGGACAGGCGTCATTTGTCCCTGGAATGTAGTGTAAACCAAAAAAAAAAAAAATGCAAGGAAGGGGAGCTGAGGGCAATTAAGCAGCTACAGTGTGCGCACTGCTCATCAAGGATCAAAAGAAAAGGCAAGAAATATGTGTCTTGTAAATATGATTACAGATTTTTTTTCTTTCTTCACCATGCAATGATTTTCAACTCACACACAAAAAAATAGAGTGGAAGGGAAAGGGAAAGAAAGATGGAGGGAATTGTAATGAGATTACTGTTTAGCAAAGGTAACTTTGATCTTGTGTTCGCCGTCAAACTTGTAATTGTGCAGAGCATCTTTGGCAACCCCTGAGCTTGTAGCATCCACATATTCTACAAATGCGATGTTCGATCTTCCTGGGATCGTTCGGACTTCCACCAGATTTGGATACCTACAAAAAAAATTGTACCAAGAGAATGATCAATTGTTGCAATTGTTTTTTTTTTTTTTTTGGATGGGGGGGGGGGGAAATTAAGAAAAGAAAAAATAAGAGGAAAAACTGAAACTGTTTAAACAAGACTTCGAGAGCGTCTTTGCCAGCGTTTTCGGGCAAGTTCTGGATGAACAGGATCTTATTAGGCGGTTGATATTCGTCGGGCATCTGGACGATTTTCCTATTGGATGAAGCGGGGGGCACAGAGGAGGCCATCGGGCCGGCCGAGGCGGCCGTCGAGGCCGCTTTCCGTGCAGCCTCCTTGGCCTCGACAGCTTTCTTTCGTAACGGGTTTTCTCGTCGAGATCGTTCTGTTCATGTCATTTTCCATCCCACACAAATCTCTTCTTGCTTCAATTCACTCGCGCTTTTTCACTGCTTGCTCAAAAAAAAAAAAACGCATGGGGTAGATCAGTCACTTACTTTTTTTCAACAGTCGTTCGGCTTTATGGGCTTCGAAATCGTCCGGCGTTTTCCGCTTGACCACACAATCTGCAGGGGATCGAGCGAAGGCGATTTCCTGAAGACCACAATACATCATCAGTCCAATGGTTTTTTTTTTTAAATGACTCGTTTTGATTTTCCTTTCTGAAAAGACGGGTCTGGGGATGGGGCGGGGTTTTTATAGCGTACAATCGGTTTTCCATAGAGGGGGAACCCTTTGACTTCTTTGACGGCCTTGGCAGCCATCTCTCGATCCGGAAAAGCCACAAAGGCTTGGCCTCTCATTCGGACCGATCGATGGGCTACCACATCCAACACTGGCCCGAAGTTTTTCAGCAGATTCTTGAGTGTCTGTTTCAAAGCTAAAACCAAGGTAAACCACATCAGAAATCGAAATGTAGAGTGTCTGTGAGTGCTCTTTGGGGGTGAGGGTATGAGTTTTTTTTTTTGACTGACCAGGGAGTTTGACCCTCTCATTCAAGTTATTCAGGTAGACGGTTTCCGTCGCATCATCCGGGATTTTATCGACCTGTTCGGACTCTTTTTCGTCGCTCGAATTAGTGGGGATGGTGGTATCCGTTAGTCCGGCAGGGATCTGAGAGTTTTCAGTAGGTTTGAGATCGGTGGCTGAGGCTGAGGCTGAAGCGGTTGTGATGGTCTTCTCCATCTCCGGCTTTGCTTCCTGGTCCTGCTGGATAGCTTCGGGTTGAGGAACTTGAGCGTTGATGACTTCCATTTCGTTGACTGAATTTCCTGGTTTTCGTTGAATAGATCGACTTGGCTGAAAGGGAGGCAGCAGGATGTCGAGTAGCTCAAGGGGGGCGCCTCGGGGACGGGTCTCCCGCGCCAAACCCGTAACCCGGTGGGTCTTCGGGCGGGTTCAGGGAGGACCCAGGAAACCCTCTGTAGATGTCAGCAACGTAAAATCCCATATTTTCAGGCAATTCATACATTTTTGGGACTTATTCATACACGTTTCGTGCCTAGGCTCAGAGTTCTGGCAAAAATGTCATACAATTTTTGTGTCTAACATTATTTTTGGCAGCTGGAGGCCAGAATTTTGTGTATTTTTTGTTTGTACCATTTTTCCCGCCAGGAAGCACATAGCCAAACTTTCTTTACAGCTAGTCATTCCTGCTAGCAGCTTTGCCAAAAAATTCATACATTTTGGTTACTGACATTTATAGGGGGTTTCCTGGGTCCTGTTCAGGTAAATTGGACCTGCCTGAGTCTGACCTCCCACAACTGTAAGGTTTAGTAAATTCATGGTGTTCAAAATTGCCTAAGTGAGTTTTACTTATCTGCATAATGTAATATTTTGGCTGGGACCTGTCAGCATACTTAAAACTCAAATTGACAGGTCCCAGCCAAAATTGCAGATTATGCAGGATTATTATGCCAATAAGTAAAAAGATATTTAGGTAATTTTGAACACCATAATTCAAGTGGTCATTTTGCCATGGGGAGGACAAGTGATCTTGCTAAGACAAATTGGTCTAATCTACTGGATTGAAACAAAGAGGAAAACATGACATTTCTCACCATGCCCTTTGAAAGAGGCACCTTGACAGGGCTTGAGCTTTCCTCAACCAGCAATCTCACACCCCAAATCCCCCCCCCCCCCCCACCCAGAAAAAAATGGGTTGGGCCAAGAATTGAACACAAACAATCATAAAGGAAATCAAGTGATATGCAAGCCCAAAAGAACCTGCCACATTGTTGAGTAATGAAATCAAAAAGATGATGGAGTAAAAAGAAAGAACATGTATTCAAGGAATGTTTTGACATCCATTTCTGGTTTTTATTTTTTCAAATTGAAGTATTGGAAGTATTCAGAAATAGAAAATGAAACATAACCTGAAAAGAGATTCTTGGAAACATAATTTGCAACCAAAGAAGCAAAAAAATGAAAATATTAAGTTGGAATAGTTACTCAAGATTTAGAAAACCCAATCCAGAAATCAACCTTGGATGAACTGATTCCCAATGTGGCCTTTTCAATCCATTTCTTCATTTTACTTCCTTTTCTCATACCTTCATCAATTAACATAACAAATTTATGAATTCTTATGGAAATATAAAGCTCATTTTGAAATATACTGAAGGCCTCTCTCATAAATTTTAATTGCTCATGTAGGAGATCTTGATCAATTCTTCCAGAATTAATTTTCTCAACAAGTTCAGGATAGAAATTGTCAATAAAATCTACAATGTAATAAATCTCAAGAAATTCTACTCTTGGCTTGTTTTTAATTGATTCATCTGATGGGTTCTGAAAAAAACTGTATGCATTTTTGATTGTGTTGATTACTTTTTTGTTTCTAAATTGGTTGATTGTTTTGTTTTCCAGGATGGAATAGTTGTAGGCCAAGGTGCTGGGTGACTTGTGAAGGTTGTAGAACTTGTGATGGCTTGATTTAGTTTTTAGCTGATCTGCCTTATGGAGAAAGTTATTTTCAAAAAAATGTTTGACTATTTCATTGAATTCCTTTGTGAGCTTTTGTTGGTCAGGCTTTCCTTGGTTTGTGGCCCTGTGAAAGCTTTGGAGAGAAGCATAGACACTAGGTTTCTGATCTTCATTAGAAAGTGCTGCATTGAGAGAAATTTCCCATGAGTTAGTAAAAGTGAACCAGAAGCCATGTTATTAGAATTGATCAGAGGTAGAGCTTTATGATTTCCATAAATGTATGTAAAAAAAACAAACTGACCTCTGAGGGATCTGTGGAAGCGTTTCACTCCCTTGTAATTGGTTAGACACTCCACTGTGGGGATCACCCAAGGAGAAGAAATAAGTGGGCTAGGCATGTACCAATAAGTTTGCTTATCAAGGTCCAATTTGACCATCCGGGAAAGAACCTCCGATGGAAAAAGTGTAAGGCTGAGAAGAGATGATGGAATTAATTCATAGTTGACCATATGATCGGCCATCAGAAGCATGGTCCTCAAAGATCGAATCCTGAAATTGTCCCAATCATAGCATCCTCGCTCTGCAAGGAGCTTCGTTTGTAACTCGGTCCATGGATCATGAGTGATTGCTACAGATCTGTCTTGATTCCTTGTTCTTGACTTGTGTGACTCAGACATAGCAAAAGCCAATCGTGACTCTCCACTCATTGGTCTAGAAATTCTCCTTTGACTTGCCATCTCCAAGTAATCATAAATGATTTCTAATTCATGAACACACTCTAAAGTTTCTTTATCATCATTATATCCCCGTAGCAAATGTCCAAATCCTTCTTTAATCTTCTTCCATTCCGTTCCCCTTTTTTCAATCTTGGCTGCTAAACACAATCAGACATAAGCAGCGGGGTTTAGCTGGACGAAAAGACAAGTTTACAAGACTCGCCTTGACTCTCCAAGAATACATCATCAATTTGCTGAAAAACTTCGTGATCAGAGTGCTCTTGTTTGCTATGTTCTCCTGAGGAATCACACATCATGGCATGACATGGACCTGAGTGGACATTCATCTGCCGAGGTTCCAACTTCAAGGGAATGATTAAGGAAACTGCAGAGGAAATTGAAGGTGAGTTCAGATTGCTAAGAAAGCGAAAAAAAAAAAAAACTGATGATGGGCTTAACTTGTGGATGTTCTTCTGGGAGGAGGTGCTGCACACACTTTGCTGGACAGTGACAAATGAACAACTCCCAATGCACGCAGAGAAATGCAAAAGAAGGACTGCTTTGATCGGATCTTCATCTTGGCCGAGGTTGAAGGGTTCACGTCAAGCTAAGACAGTTAGGGCAATTTGATCACTTTTTTTTTTTGCGAGAGAACACTAACCAGCTGGGTATTTATGTTAGTCTGCATTTTTCCAGCGCTCATTTGTCTGATGAACTGCTCCAACCAATTGCCAGATGAGACAGGTTGTATGATACGCACATGTCCTGCGTCCTGGGTGTGGTATCGCTCTGATCAATCTGTCTGACCATTGCTCGAGCAGCGCTGAGGCTCTGCGGGTAGTATTTACTGGTAGATACATAGTGTCAAGAAGCCACAACAGCGCAGCTTACAACTTAAAACAAGACTCGTCGACTCTGTGAAGTAGGTCTGTGAATCGCCAGTGAATAGCAGTGAATGGATCTCATCAGACTGGGGCTGACACCTCTCGTGATCATAGACATACCAGAATGTATGGAGGGGGAAATGCAGAGGTAGCATATTATCAATCGCCCACTCAAGATCCCTTAAGAGAACGTAATGTTGTGTGATAATCATGGGGGCGCCAGTTGGTGGTTGGGGGCTCAAGACTACCACAGGCTGTGTTAGTACACTATAGCACCCATGATACATCGGAACTCTGATGCATCTGTGATAAGTTTAAGGTTGGGTCTCTTATATCACACCCGACAGCCTTCAAGAGTTATCATGACTTCATTAAAGTTGGGCCTGTAAATTACCAGTGAATTACACGGCAGTTGCACGATTTAAGGTTTCGCTTGGCAATTTGCCGCGCGAGTCAAACAACCGCCAATCTGACCTGTAGGCCGTCAAATTGACGGCCAAATGACTGGCCGTCCACCGGCACTCGAGTTCAGGCAAGTTAACATACACGGCAGGAGCGATCGATGAAGATGCACAGTGTCGATGGGTCGTCTGTGATGGATCGACGGCGAGGAACCCCAAGATCACTGCCCGTTTCCAGTCCAGGTTATATTTCCGTGATTAGGCCCCCTCGCAGACTGTCTTAGTCTATTGTACAGCTTCAGAGAAGACAGAACCACAGCCATCTGACGGCAGTGTCGCTTGCAAGTCAAACAGGTCCCTCATCAGATCACCTTGCTGGCAGTCACCCCACCTTGGTCACTGTGCCCGATGCCCTCCTGTGATTGGGTTGGTTCTCTTATGAGACGGCTTCACCGCCGTGAAATTGCCCAGACTTCGGCCGTCCATTCCATCTATCCACATAATTCCCTTCCCTAACGACTTTGCCCCCGTGAATTGGACATCAGGTGGCCAGGTCCGAGACTGGGACTGCCTGACTTGCTGTTACACCCAAGACACCACTCACGCTGGTCCCCAACAACCAATTGGTTTTCCTTCCTGCCTTGGATTTTAAATATCACGCGACCTCTCGGTGTGCTTCATCCACCGTCCCCTTTGACCAGAGTCACCTCAACCTCCCCTTATCCGTGTTTGTTCAATGAAGCCGCCTGCTGGCCTTGCCGAAGCTCTCCCTCAGTTTCCTAGCGTATTAGACCCCGTAGGACTGCAAGTCGAACTGGTTGCTTGGTCTCAGCGGGTGCAATGGGCCCACACCCACCTCGTGCCCCGTGTGCGTAAATCTGAGGGGATGTTCCAGTACATCGAACGCACTCATCTTAAGGAGCATTTCAACATCTTCTTGTTTGGAATGCCCCTTTCCGATCGCGAGGCACTCATGACCTCTCTAGTTGACACCTTCATGGTACGTACTGACTTGATTCATATTTGTGATCCGGAGGTCAGACCATAGAAAATCTGATGATGCCCTTGCATTTATCTAGCACATTTATACGCTTAATCACCCGATCATCCCATCCGACAACCCGTTGCCAAAATTGCTGATTGAGTTTGGAATGCCCAAAGTGGTTAGTGTGGCATTTCCTTCCCAGGTTGACTTGACACGCAGACTGATTCGTATTGCTCCAGCTTTACACCAGTTTAGAACAATACTATATGCGCAAGAAGCCGGCGCCTATCGTCTTGGGGGATACCTTGACTGGCGTCATTCGCCCAGCGGTGGGCCACTTGATGGATTTGGATGCTGAGGATGATTGGCGAGCCGAAGGCCCACCTCCCACGAACTCACTCGAGGGCGCTTCAGCGACACCAGGCACTTTGAAGGCGACTCCCAATCCCATCCAAGCCCACTCTCCCACCTCTCCCACTGAGAGCGACCTCGCTTTGGCCGTTCAAACACTGGCCCCCAGTTCCACCGACGACGAGATGACTCACATCAGCAAATGCACTGCTGGCAAACTGGTGGTACTCATGCGCGGCATTCTTGAGCGTAGTGTGGCACTGCAAGGGTGGTTCGACTCGCAGAAGAACAACGACCACAAGCAGTTTTGTAAGGCACTACTCACGGAATCGCACAGACACGACCGTGCGGTGAACGAGTTGCTCAGTAAGCGCCATTACCAACTTAAGGACCAGGGACTCCAATTGGCCGATGCCTTCAACGAGATCAACAAGTTAAATTTGGCGGTGGCGCAGATGGCGGATGACTTAGATATTCCTTACCAACCAGCTGCGAACTAAGTTGTAGATAATGTAAACTTATCCATGTAGTCGCTCCATCCAATCTTCTAACATTCCGCCACGCCATGTCACCATTGAAGCGCTTCCCATGCTTGTTCAGGTGGGTTGCCAGCAGCTTGATTAGGTCTTCTCCAACATTACACTGTGCTCTAATCCTGGCATTTAACCCACGTTGTTTGCACCAGCATGATTACCAGACTCTTCATTTCTTTCGCTCGGTTTGGTTTCTCATTTAAACTATTAGCTTAGATTTATTACCAGTGGCTATTGAATACATGTCAAGTAGGTTACGACAGCCCCGATAACTTTTGAGGGTTTACAATCCAAACCCGTATTATGCAAACGATGAAATCCCAATGCTTGCCAAAGAATATCACCTCCCCCTTTGAAAGGATATTGGGGTGGCCCAGGGGTCTTCTGCGCCTGAGCGATTTGCAAGTCCAAGAAGTTAGTGCCCAACGTTATTCTGGAGCTTCCGCATGGAGCTCTTCCCGCGTGTCCTGATGGGGGTGACATCCATGCAGTGGTAACACTTTAATGCCCTTGAAAATAGTTATGTGTCTTGGGCAACCTCTTTCTCATCCGATTCAGGTCAGAGTGGCCAAGCTTTCCCCATTGATGTCTGGGTATGTCTCTTTGTTGAAAGGGTGCACAGAGGCTTCGGATATCTTCATCTGAGATGAGATGAGGACATTTGAGGTCATCGCAAGCCGCCTTGGGTTCAGATTTTCCTCTGCTGCCACAAAAGCTCAATCCACTTGCAACCACCGCCACTCGACTTCTCTTCTGCTGGTAAAGCATGACCCCAGCCCCTTCCAACAATCCAGTGGAGGACCCACTCCGGGGCTGCCAGCGCCACCAGCCAATCATCCGGTATCTCAACACTCAGGACTCCGAGTATCTGCCTTCTTCTCAGCACATGCAGGAGGTCGAACAAATCATCAGTGAACAGTTTGAATCAACATCCCCGCAGGCTCCGTCATCTCCAATCCAAAAGCCCAAGCGTTCGGCAGAGTATGTGGTCCATTATGGCTCTTCATTGCCACATGCGCCCGAAGAATCGACTTGCCCAACAGATCAAGACCTTAAGCGTCGTTGAGTGATAATCACCCAGGTCGAGCCCGGTCCCATCAACACGCAAGGGTGCCATTATAATTTTCCCCATATGCCACGTCCCACCCCAACTCCAGGACAATCTGATTCGGTGTCAGACACATTGCCTCAAGAGAATCAATTCTCCGACGAACAAAAAAGTGCCTTGATTGCATGGTTTCATCATGTAATCTGGAAACATTCTTTAAAAGAGGTCAAATCCACAACTTGGGTGCCCTTTGAAGACTACCTGAAGAAACACTTTGCAATTGAAACATATAACCCTTACCTTGTGGATTGGACGCTTGAACAAAGGCGAACGCAGTATGATGCCCTCTGGCAGAAATTCATGGTAAGTGAGCAATGTCAAACCCATGGTGAATGGCAATTGGTCGAGAAAAAAAGCTGCCTTTGAACTGACATGCAGATGGTCCGTCAGCGCACCGATTCACCAGGGGCCAATTTGGATAGATTGCTGAAGGCAAATGGCCTTTCCCCATCAGTAAGTGGAGTCAATTCAGCTCCTTGACAGCGGCTGGTGGCTGATGTAGAATCCAACAGCATTATTGGGCCATGGTCGACATCCTTTGCGGTATGCAACCAATGCGCCCAACCCTGGGGAAAGGTCACATCTTTGCAGAAAGTGAGGACGAAGCGAGTAATGAAGAGGTCCGGTCAAACAACACGGGCCGGGTCAACCGATCGCATGCAATCGATCCAGTCCACGACAATCCAACCGTTTCGAGGATGGCAAACACCACTCCCAGCAACGGAGGCTTCAAATTCTCGAACGAACATTCCCCGACCGTTGGTTTGCAATCAGACTTACTCACTTCCCTCCGGCAATTGGTGATGCAAGCACCAAGCAACTCAAGTGCCTCCGAGGACCCATTTCATGACACCTGTTTGGAATTGTCCAGGTGGCAAGTCGAAGAGCAGATCCGCCATCATGAGGAACAGCGAATCCACCATGTCAATATGAAAGCCCTCCTCACTAATTATAAAGAGAAGATTTGCAGACTACAAGAGGATCGAACTCGAGCAAAGGCGGAAGGAACTGAGTTGCGTGCCTCGCTCATGAATCTCATCTCTCAATTCTCACCACAACAAGAAGGATCACGTGGGAAGGAGCATTGAACGTGGGTAATAAACATTGGTTTCACTAGCTATCATGTGTTCATATATCAAGCCATTAAACATACTACTATACTCAGTTTTCAACTAGCACTATTTAACATTCGGTTAATTTGACGAGTCATGGGTGCTGGCACTACGTCGAAGCATATAAAAGACCATGATATCTTGCATACTGAGGAGGGCCTTCAAGAAACGCAACCGGGTGGTTCAGATCAGGTTGCAAATGAACAACAATTTACCTTTACTGACCCCGCCATATGCGGAGGCCATGATCAATTGCCGCGGTCCAATGATCAGCGTCAATTGGGGGAATGGCCAAAGAAGCCAGTTGTCGGTGAGAAGCGATAGAGTGCAAAGACGACGAATTCAAAATGAACCATTGGTCATCTGAATGTTTGATTGTGTTTGGGTTGGGAGCACCCTCAATGTGTTCGGGCTGAGGATCTGTCCTGGGTTTCATAGGACATTGGCCCCCAATACAGTGGTGTTGGACGTTCAGGCAGGATTTGATATCCTACCACGCGGGTTAGCCATCAACTACTCAAAATCCTTGGGGGAAAGGAGGAGCGGCTTACTATCACGGCGAGATATCTGGCCTCATGAGTATTCTCCAGAATCCTCATCTGATAAAATGGGTCTACCCCCAGGAGCTTAAAAGTGGTGGTCTTCATCACGTATCTGATTTGATGATCCCATTCAATCTGCCACAGTGAATTCACGCGACCAATGACCTGATCTCGAGTGATGCCACCGGGCGCCACCTATTCAGCGACAACAAAAATCATTGGTCAGTGAGGGCATTTGTGGTTCATTTTGGGTGCATGAATCAGGCTGACCAGGACAAAGTATCCTTTCTTCACGACATCTTTTTCACTTAATCTCAGCTGCGAGACCTGCTTAATCCGTGCATTGGGATACTGCTGGAAGTAACTCGGGATCTCTTCCTGGTCCGCCTTGGGCAACACCGATTGAATGGGAGTCGGAAACATTATGGGGGACCCCATGGCCATTGGGTTATAACCCATTGACTTCTGGATCAGTGGATTGCTACGAAACATATTTGTCACCCCGCTGGACGCATGGAAGGTCATGCCCGTTTTATGGTTGCACAGCTGAGCATTGGAGGCGACCAATCGCAGCGCTTGGAAGTTCAAAAAGGAGAGCCCCAGATCCCTTCCAGGTCGATGTCGGTTGGAATGGACCGACGCATTCCGGAGGACACTATTAAAGCTTTCGAACTTCTCAGTCGCAAACAGAGGAGCGGGGCCGAAACATTCAATCGACTCTGGAAGATGCTTCAACATGTGGAATTTGGGTTTATTCACCCATTGGGCTGACATGTTGATGGAATGACAGAGGAATATATCGATGTGTTTTCTCAAGTCGGCCAAATACTGCGGCATGTTGGTAATTCGGGTTTGGAAAACATACGTGGCCAGTTGCCCGAGGGAAATCCAATGGTTGCGTTGCGAGTCATTCATGAATTGGTAGAGGACAAAGGGGGCGGTTTGCAGGATGATCTTGAAGTCCTTTCCGACCAGTGAGGAAAAGTGTTCAACAAGATATTTGGCCGGGATCGAAGGGACATTTAACCCTTTGACGTTCAATGCGTCCCAAGAGGCAAGCACTTGGGCCAACTCTTTGACTTTCAAGGATTTCATGAAGTCTCGAGTCATATATTTGACTATTCCAAGGAGGAAGACATGCAAGATCTCCACTGGAGTATCTAGGCATCCATCAAAGCCTGGTAGTCAAATTGGTGAAATTAATCACTTGGCTTGGCCCTCTGGGATACAATATAAAAACCATGGATGATTGGGCCCACCTTTGAGTTTCAAAAACGGATTGAACAGGCGATGAGAATCTGATTGGGCCATCAGATTGACTTCCGTTTGGGCGTCCACGTTGTCCTTCTGCTGCATCACCTCAACAAAGCGACGATTAATGGAATCACGTATCCCGAGCTCCTTGGTCTTATCATCAAAATGACTCTTGACCCCCTTCTTCCCGATCTCCCAGAGGCTTTTGGTCTGCGTTTGGATGGTTTCCCAGTTCCGAGGTAGTGGAGATTTCTGGAAATCAGGGGTGATCAGCCCATCGCTCCTTCCCATGAGTAGGCAGATTTGAGAGGAACCTTCCTACATGATTGCCCGTGCCGTCAATGTGCACAAAGTCTTGAACGTATCCTTCCGTCTTCTTTGCTTCCATACTCGGTGCATGTAGGCAGCACATGCGACAAGGATTAAGACTGACATTAGGTAGCGGGGTGTTGGTCACTTCTGCGTGCATCGGCGAATCCGCTTGGAAACATAACACCAGACTCATAATTAGGACATCAGAGCCGGTGGAAGCATCATGTGCTACAAAACCATCGGTGGCCAGCATGCTGACCCACCATTTCCATTAGATGGATAGTTCAGTGATCCAATGTCCCCAGGGAATCAAACAGGAAGACAAAATTGGTCGGGGCGTGCTCACTTGAGTTCCTCCACAATCTGTTCCCCAATTTCCAACACGCCCGCTTCGTTGGATGTAGATAGGAAATGGCAGTTGTACTGCATATTGGACAACTTTGGGGGCAGGCCCGCGAGGGTGAAGTAGAAGGATATGTGCCGATTCCACTGTTTGGAGACATTGCCTGAAGTATCATCGGCATAAAGATTGATTGGCATATGTCTAATGATTTTGCCACCGGCTTTAGTGCGCCATGGATTGGGAAGCTGACGAGCCGGTGAATCTTCATCGAGATCTGACCCATCCAACTTGGTCAGCAGCCACACTGGTTCAGGATCAATGGAGGGACTCACCTAAAATTTGGTTCTTGCACAACTCAGCCAGACGTCCATGCAATCCCATCACGATCTCCGGATAACTCTGCCCCAAGTTCAAGACGTTCACTTCCACAAGCCGGTCCGAATTGAAGCTCAGATCCAAGGGCATCCGCACATTGACGCTGAGAGGCTCGTGTGTATACTCCACCTGAGGCACTGCACATTTGGCATACGTTCCCAAGCCAGCTTTGTAAAAGAAGACAGGCACTACTATTTGGCCATTGTTGGCCATGGCGGGCTCAAAAATATAAAAATGCTGCTGGTTGGACTCGATCATCTGGACCCGCAGGTCTGGGGGCAGACCATGGAGCCATTTACTGCTCTGGGAAAATTTGTAAATTTCGCTCCCACGCGGGTCCTCCGGAAGAAAATCGAGCTGGGGACTGACATATGGATTTGACATCTCCTGAATAGCAAGAATGAAGAACCCTGGTCAGCCTCCATCTTCAAACGTCAGTGAGGGGTTGCAACAGACATGCCCAAGAATCTGAGCTAAGCTCAGGGCGTAGCACTGCTGTTGCCAGACGCTCTTCTTCTGGCGTAATTCTAGTTTCAACATGGAACGAATCTCCTCTCGGGAGTGTTGAAGTGTTGTCCAATGAGGGAGGCGGACGCCAAGAAGGGTCAGTATCAACCTGATTTGTGCATACACATCACGACTCATGATGTGGTGCATATATCCAACCAAAAGAGAGGCAATTAAATACTGCCGCGCATGGGGGTCAGCAAACTCATGCTATAGCTACTTAATGACCAATCGATTGATTGTTAAGCTACAAAAAAACATTTCCTTACCTCCTTATTCTTGAAAGGATACCAAGACGTGTCTGCAGAGGGCAGAGAAGGCTTGGGGAGCAAGTCACTGGGGAAAGGTTCGTCCGACAATTGATTCATCGCCTCAAATAGATAATCATCCCAATCAATTTCCTCTTGCGCAGGGCCAAGTGGCACATCGGTGCTATTGAAGGGAGTAGCATGGCTGATGTCTCTGAAGGTCAACAACTCATCCTCCGAGCCATTGTCTGATCCCCCAGCATTGAACCCAATGGCATCAAACACCAGCTCATCGGGTGCTTGATCCTCAACGGTCACCTGCGTATGATCAGGTTGTGGTGGCCCCTCGGGTGGCCGCATAAAGAGTGGATTCAGAGCATTTCGGGCATTTCTCTCTTCCACTTTTCGTTGATGCATAGCACTTCGGGCGTGGTCTCGATAGCTCCGTGTGGGTGCCCTACCCGTGCATAATTTACATTTGTATCTGTTGTCGCCCACCGGCCCCCGGATGATGATAAAGTCTGAGGGATTCATTTGGTTAACTGTCTTTACGGTGGTCTCTGCGCCACAGGCAAGATCAAGCAAAATATGTCTTCACCTTCTAATTCCGACATCTTTCTGAGTGAACTTCAAATACCAAAGTTGCCGAAGGATAAGTCCAAATCACATCCAGTAACCAAGTCGCGCCGATCGAGACTGTGTGGGTGAGCATAGGCTGGCCCACACATAAATCTCTTCTGCTTTCATCCGACCCGACCAGGAGTGATGCAGTTCCCAAACCACAAAGTGATGTTTATCCCATTCATTGAAGAGGACCCCCTTTGTCTGGCCTGGAAAGCCAGCTTGGCCAGATAAGACCACCATCTCTTCTATCGGGTTCCCACATTGGAACAGCTGGGCATGCTTGTCACCTGATGAACCCCAACAATTTGATCATTTCAGAATAGGGTGCCCATTCCTTGACATCACGGGTGAATAAAAGATGTCAGGCCTTCGGCTGGACCGCTTTCCAAAGAAGGGTGCCCTCTTATCAGTCAACCGTGATCTTGCCCAGTGGTGTGACCCCGTCTGATAATTTCCAGTGGGGCCATCGGGTGAACCGCATTCACCAGGCAAATGTGTTCATCATGCTTGCCATAATGCACCCTGCCTTGCAAATCGGCCGAGACCTAGGGATCTTACCGCGCCAACCAACTGCCCGTCATCAGTCCGAGATGAGTACAGGATCACCGCACCACTGTAACTTTGACGTGATTCTTGTCTAATGAGGAAGATGTGAATGGTTCTATGACCTACAGAGTTTCCGCGAAGTCGGCCCGGCCGTGTCACGGAACCCAAGTAATTGATGAGGTTTGATTTGATGAGCGATGATTATCGTGCTCAATAACTTCTATAAGAACCCACCCTTCTCTCATTCTTGTCTCCATCTTTTTGTCCCTCCCCCATCTCAAACACCACCACTGTTATCGTTCCCACTCCAAACGCTGACCCGAGAATTTTGGCTTGTTTGTTCTTGGCGGTGACCACTGCCCCATATTGCTCCCTTGTGTCCATTCCTTCGAGCTGTCATTGTGCCATTGCTGACTCATTGTCTCCGGCTCAGTCCCACCGTCCACTGAACCATTTGTGTCTTCTGCTCTTGCTCGCCCTCACACATTGTCCTGAGTGGACCATCCATAGGTGATGCAACAACCCTTGTCTTCATTGGCCCATGTGCCTACTTCTGTTGGCAATCTAAACCAACCCCACCCAGATAGTCGTTCTGGGCTTAATCCGTCTCGCGTGTCTCATGACAGTATGTCTAACCTCCTGAAGCCCCATCCGCTACGTGCAAAGTTTGTCAAGCTGATGCAGCCCTCATATTTAGATCGTTTCAACCCGCTCATCAACCACAGTCGAATTCATTCTTTGCTTTTGCATTCCGATGGGAGTAGTCTCGGCCAAACCCACTCGACCAATCCCAACATGTTTCTTCAAGGCAACGCTGGTGGGGTTGGCAATAACCCCACGGAACGTGGTCAGGGCCGAGATGCGGAAGATGAAGTCATGGATACTTCCTCTGCAACTCATCTCATCCAAGGCAGGGGCGGAGGGGCCACCACCGCCGTCGTTGGGGAAGTCCCCCAAGAACTAATCGCGCGATTGAGTTTGGATGACGATTCCGCTGCTCTTGTCAATCAACTCAGAATGGTCGGTTACCCACCTTGTTTGGCATCTTGGCCATCCTTCCTCAAGCAATTTTTCACTGTGTCCATTATCATAGGTTCCGGCTCACGAGCAATGGATAGTGTCCATTGCACTCCTGGTTGCAAACCTAACCCGAGCGCAACTAATCCGAGCTGAGTTGCCAAGCCCACGTGAGATCGCCGCTGCTGGCACTGCCGAACCGGGAAATGGGCCCTTCAATTATACTCAAACTATACGTGTAAGTCACTCACTCCTATGCTTCCGGTTGGGTGCATTGTCTACCAGGACTCATTCCCGACCACGTAGACCTTTCTTCGGCGCAAGATACGTGACCTTCTAACTGTTGGCAATGTTGAAGCCTATTCCCGCACCCACACCACGGGCGGCTTACCTATTGCATCCACGCCCTTGCTTTTATTGACGGTGAGTACACCTCGGTCTTGACCATCGCCTGGCCTCATCTTACTAACTTTGTCAACATCGACAGCAACATCTTGCCGCCCAATCTGATGAGTTCAAAGAAGATTATCTCCCAGCTGGGTGGCCCGACGATGAAGCGGCCAACCACAGTGTATTAGGATTGCTCAGGTCCCTGGTGAAGCATGAGCGTGGCAGTCTGCGCAATCTTGTACGCCAGCCTTTGTGACTGTGCTTTGTTAATTTCCTTCACTGAAGTCAACTCTTATCAGCTGTTGACTAATGTCAAAGAGTTCAATTGTCGGGCCATCGAAGGCCCCGTTCCCAAACTGGGTGATTTGATACTCGTGGTCAGTCTGGCAACATCCCGTGCAGTTTATGCTCGGCCACGCGAGTCTGATTGAACCTGATTCTGCAGATTGACCGAATCATGGGATCACGAGATAGCCTTAGCCCTGCTCAGGAGATTCGGGATGCGTACACTGCCACTATGAAGGTCAGATTGGCCTTCATCCGGCTTGAGGTCCTTCATCACTATCTCAACCCCGACCCGGCCACCAACTTGAGTCAGTGGGATATAATTGATCGCAAACTAGAGTTCCTTCGAAGGCAGATTCTTCATTACAAACAAGCGTCAGTGCCACCTGCTCGGTTTTTCTGATTGGCTTGTGTCAACTGAAAATTTTGACCCGTTCAGATACGCCCGCCTTATCATCAAGATTGACCGAGAGCTTTTTGGTCCCCATGAGTTTGCCGACATTCCAAAGGAAGCCATTTCTCTGCCCTCAGACGACCAAGTTCAAGCAGAAATGGCGGCCGCCAGCGCCATGGCCCTCGACCACGCGGCAGGCGACCAGCCAACCTTCGATTCAAACGTAGTTGTGTAACGTATTGCCATTGGTCTGACCTGGGCCTCTCTCCATCCAACCCTACTGGGTGGATGTGCCCTCTGCCCTATCTTATGTTGATGCGCCACATGTGACGCTCTAGCTCCAGCTTATGTACTACCCCCTCTTTAGTTATATGTATGGCCCCAGCCGAATTTAAACGATCACTACCCTTGTCTAGTTGTACGTATGGCCAAAACCCTTCTTAAAGCATCTTATTACACATTACCAGTTTAACATACACATCCAGAGTCATATGCCTCCTCATGGGGCAGAAACCCCCGAAAGTCGTCAATAGCTCCAATGGTACTGATCTTTACACCCCATCATTTATCCAGTTTTAATACTTCTTACTAAGATGACTGAGTGAAAACAGTCAGTGAACAATACGTCGTGTGTAGATACTGATTAACTATCTAAACCTGTCTGCCGTTATCTATGATTCCGTGATGATGCCTTGAAATGCAACTGCCTATCAGTCACCAATTTGTCAAGACTCGGCTCGCCCAGGCGTGTCCTCACGATTGGAATAGTCAGCATTGGGCAATTTCCCGCTGCCCTGCCCAACCCATGCAGTCCTGCGCCTATGAATATGGCGTGCACGCAGCAGTCCTCATGACCCATGTTGACCTCAGTCGCCGACTGGAAACTGACGGGCACATAGCCATCAGCCCGTTGGCTCAGATGTGTCCCATTGTCAACTAACTGCGAGTCATTACATCGAGCGTGAATCCGAGCGTTTGACCCAACTCAATACCGTTGGGATCCGCGGCCAATAGGCGTCAGTGGGCCTGGGTCTCAGCCTGGCACATCGACGGGTGGCTACCGGTCCACGTGTAAGGTTATGGCTGTTGACTTGCGGACGACCAGACGTGGCCAGGGGCGTGATCCAGATCGGCATGGGCCAGCAGACCGCCCATATACAGTTCTCCAAGCAGCAAGGATGCTACATGTGACTGGGTGACTCGACCACATGTTCCCTGTACACGTGCGACCCGACAAATCGTCGTCATCCTGTGCAGGGTCGAAAAGAGTCAAACCGACAGCGAAACGAGGTACTCACATCGTCCGACCCGGGCTGCCGTGTAACTTGCCTGAGTCAGTTCCCCGGAAAACAGCCCTGACCATTCATCCGCCGCCGCGCCCAACGGCAACCAGTTTTGACGGCCAGCACTCCACAAATTCGACGGGTTGCACTCGGGCAACAAGGATGGCCTCCCCAAACTCGACACCTTCAACTTCGCCAAAACCATTCTCCTAAAAAATCAAAACCCTTATAAAAAATTAAAAACTAACAAAAAAAAAGTTTCTCTCCTCTTCTCCCTTCCGCCTCGGTGTCCTTTCCCCTCCCTTCTCTTCTTCTCTCTTCCAACCTGGTTATCTTAGAGCTTTTCTTTTCCTTCCTCTTATAAGGTTTTTACCTTATTGGGCCCGCATAGTGTTTACTATGCCTCCCAAACGTATCGTCTCGCATGACGATATGGAAGACATCGATTCTTCCAATCCTTCCCCTCCCCACACCCCGACCCAACATGATTTCTCTCACAATCCCTCCCTCCACCAATCCCAGCACAATCCCGTTAATGATTTTCACGTTAACGGGTTTTTTCAATTTATGTCGGACCTTCTCTCTCACCCTGAACCTGATGGAAGTGTAATCATCACGGCCGATAAGGTTAAAGTTGCTGCTAGTCTTCTCGGTGTAGAAAAGCTAGTTTCAACTCAAACCTTGGCTAATCTTGAGAAGATCACATCCCGTCTCGATTCAATCGAGAAATCTATTCATTCTCCCCCCACCGCTAAGAGAGCTACTGTTGCTGCTTGGACTAGCGCTGTCAAAGACAAGCCTAATCATGTCCCTGTTCAGCCAGTTATCCGCCCTCCCCCACCAAAGAAAATAATCAATGAATTCAAACCTGCTTCATTTGTTATTCGTAAAACAGTTCCCGACTCCCGCCCTTTTTTTCAAAAATCCCCTTGTGAAATCACAAAAATAACTAACTCTGTCCTGTTGGACATGAAGCCAAGACCGATGATAACACACCAATCATCATTAGGGGGTCGCGACCCTTCCTTCAAGAGACTTTAAGTTTTCACTCAATCCCGTTTTGCAGCCAGTGGCCTCTCGAACACAAGCACAAGTGGACCCACTTGTGTGATTCCTCTCTTGGTACTCCCCCGGAGTTGATAAACGCACGCCAATCCGCACGCCAAGCGCAGATTTGCGTGCGGGCCTGCACGCCAAAGAAGTTGGCGTGCGGGCTCGCACGCCAATCTGCTGCAGGGGAGGTTGGCCTGCAGTTAGCGTGCAGGCCTGCACGCCCAACTTTAGGTCCTAAACGCATATTTATATGCGTTTAGGACCTGGGCTGTCCCATAGGACCCAGGCATGGGTCCTATGGGACGGCCCCGCCGTAGATTTTTTTTTTTCCTTTTTTTCAAACCCCCTCGGCCTAGAGAGGCCGAGGTCACACCGCCGGGAGGAACCCCTCCCGGCGAGCCTGTGTACATGCCACTTTAGGTCCTAAACGCATATTTATATGCGTTTAGGACCTGGGCTGTCCCATAGGACCCAGACATTGTCCTATGGGACGGCCCCGCCGTTGATTTTTTTTTAAGGTTTTTTTCAAACCCCCTCGGCCTAGAGAGGCCGAGGTCA